CATTACAATCTTATCACGGAGAAAAAATACTAACAACTTGCCACCAGCCAACCATTTTTCCATCACAAACTACTGCTGCTTACCTCTTTTGTAAGAAAAAATAGCAAGTAACTGATTAGTCTTGCACTATCCCCTCACCTCAGCGATTTTAGTTAACTTATGATAATTAATGTACGATATCTTATTAAATGCTTTACAGAAATTCCAGCAAGCTCACTCTACTGCATCTCTTTTGTCTTTAAAAACAAAAAAAAGTGCCAAGCTATAATGCTGTTCAGTTCTTTTTTGAAGTCATGAAAGAAATTATGAAAATGTGCAACTTAAATATCATAGGAAAGATTAATAGATTTTAATAAAGAAGACACAATTCAGTGGGCTCCCTGAATCAGAGCACCAATCTCTTAATAGCAAATTTTTTCTTTCTCTTTTCTCTCTTTTTTTTTCATTTTGATATATTTCACAAACTTTGACCAGACAAAATAACCATTTAGATATTTCTTGGGAGATAATTTCTCAGGACTAAGATTAATGACTGTAAACATCAGTTATAAAAGCAGAGAAAATAAAAGAGAAAAAATATCTTTTCCATACCTAATTCAAGAAAGTCTATTTTAAAATATTATATTTAAACATGCCAATTCATTATACCTCAGCTAAGTTTTTTTTTTTGCCTCAAGTTCTTTTCTTTATTTAGCTAAATCAGCAGGGATAAATGTCTACAGATAAAATTATCCGACATCAAACAAATATTGACATGACTTTTAAGGTCAGCTGTTGCAAGGCCAGGATTTAAAAACAAATTAAATTTGATGTATACCATCTTAAAGGTCAGTTAGAAAGGTATATGCTGCACTCATTTTATAACGCAGCCCCTAGGGAGCTAAATACATTGAATGCTGTGAGGAGACATTGCAATAATGAAGACAATTATGGTAATAGGTAGGTAGGTAATAGGGGCTTAATTAGATCAGAACAAGCATGTTATTTAGAGAAAAAGAAATCACAGTGTATTAAGTTAAAAGTAAATTGCAGCAATTCAAGTCAATAGTTATTTCAAGCTGATAGTTAACAACGCTTGTCGTATTTTTAAAGGGACTGAGACATTACAGGAAAACGCAGTAAAACTATTTCATTGTCATCCAGCCACAGTCCAGTGTCACTGCCTACGAAGGTCCTATCTCTCCTAGAATATTGCCCTTCTGGCAGAGGCTGTATGCTTCATTTCCTGATTTTACTTTCTGGTCTCAATAATTTTCAGTAGTAAAAGTGAGATGGTATGAATCCTTTGTTATTACTTCAGTAGCTTAAGGAATAAATAAGTTACCATTTCCAAACGGGCCATCACCGGAAAGGAAGAAGGGCTAAGAGATAAGCAGAGAAAGGACTGAAAAGGGCAGTTTTGAAGATGTGGGAGAGTCGGGATGAGCTGATATACCATGCTACAACGCTATTGCTCAGCTTTGTTACTGGAAAAAGCACTGCCCATCTTGCCTTGGCCAACAGTGCCAACATTTTTTTATTCATTTTTGCTGAATTATTCCAGTTCAAAATGTTTGAGAAATTACTGCCTTAAAACATAAGTCTGATCACCAGACACTATATAATGCATAATGCTACTGCTCTGTCCAGTTACACAGCCCCAAACGGCAAATGAAAAACGGACAGAGATGGGAACAAACTCTCCAATATGTTCTGCATCCTGGATAGCAAATTATTTTAGAGGGATTCTGATTTATTAGCATTTTATGGGTCTTCACACAGGTGAAACTGACTTTACAAAATACATGGCAATATACTGGAGTCAAACAGGAGCAAAAAACAACTCATGCTGCACGGTATGCCTTTGATGTGTAAACACCAACCAGGACTGGCCCTGCTATCGTTGCATTATTTAGCTTACAAGAGTAACTTTAACTCCCAGTTCTCTCTAGCATACAACTTTTTCTCTGCAGGTAGCATGGCTTAGGGTTACAGCACTCAGCAATGTTTGTATTGCCACGTGAGCTCACGACACGAAAACTTCAGTGAGGAAACGTAGGGAGGCCCTCATGGAGTCTTGTCCTATTTTCTCAGCTAGACAGACAGTGGCCATTATACAAAAGTATGGCAAGGGAATCTGTAGATTCTGATTCTCTGTCGGGTAACAAGGAATGAAGATATTCTCTTGCGTTCAGAGAGAGACGCTCTCCCTCCATGGATCCTCTTCTGAAATTCACTGAAAATACATTTAAAATTTAGGATGACACTCCTTACTTTCTGCACGTATCCTTGAAAAAAGCAGTAGTCTGCAATATTCTTGCACACTATTTCATTATATGCAAGTTCGCCAAAGAGTAGTCCAGTGTTGTCAGTGGAAATTTTGTAAGCTCCAAATTGGCCATCCTCATTTATTTTTGTCTTATTCGCTTGTATTACAGCCTTGACCACTTTAACCTGTTCTGAAAATGAGATATTTTACTACTTGTGAGTAAAGTGACTGACTTCTGCCACTGAGAGGGTGGTTTCTGCAACATAACCACAGCAAATACAGTTTCATGGAATAAAATGTGGGCAAAACAAAACAGCTGTTTAAAAGCCATTTAAGTGAGACTAACATGAAATCTTAGTATCTGCCTACCACTTTGTTTTTTTCTATCTTTTTTCCTGCTTTCACTTGTGTTTACTTAGGTAAAACTGCCCATTCAAATGAGAGGGCACTTGTCATTTCTATGGATGCATGTATGAGCCTTTTCTTAAGCAGCTCCATTTTTTCCTGACAACAGATTAGATAATGAGAATAAATATTTTAGGAGAGATTAAAACCTTTGTTTGCTTTCAAAGTTACATCATTTATCTTCACTGTGTCCTTGCATCCACGGATGCAAAAACCAGACCAGAATGGTCAGCATCAGAATAAAAAAAATAACAACGACATTCATTAACAACAGTGACAATGACACACAAAGCTCTAAGGTCTTGTGTGACAGCAAAAGACCACATTTTCTAATTGGATTGTTAGTTAGACCATATGTAGCCATAATCACTGACAATAATTACAAATTGCTTCTCCACATGCTCTCTCACAAATGAGAAATGTCCAGTTAAGTGCTCACTATGAATTTTTATTTTAAACAATAACGGAGTTTTCTGTGTGGCCCAACAACGCAGTATCAAGATTACATCTTGAAGGAAAGGCATGACCAACAAACAAATTGTGGCGGGAGACACAATCCTGGTCTCACAAAAGTTACCGGAGTCTAGCGGAAAGGCAACGATGTCCAGTGAACACCTATTTCTCTCATTAAGCCTAAACTACATTATATAACTGGCAGCTGACTTTCAGTAAGAAGTGCAGGACCAAGTACAATACGAAGCAATAGAGCTGTACCTCACCCCATTGTGGACCCCACCTTTATAAACGGACGATCAAAGCATACTAGAAATAAAAGACTGTCGTATTCATAGAAAGATATATCATAACTTTCTTGCTCCAGACAAGAGACTAGAAATGAATTACACTGAAACGTGACTACTCCATGTTCCTTCCATTCATATTCGTTTAATAACTACACTGTGCCCTGTCTAACGATTTTCACAAAGGGACTTCTAGACGACATGCCCAAGAACGGCAAGCATGCACATAGGAAGAACTTATGCTCTTAAAATGGATCACAGGCATCCTTAAGTTCTTTCTGTTTCTACTTGTGCTGCATGCAATTTATGATCAGGAGCTAAGCAAGGGCTCAGCGTACATACAGAGAAAATGGAGCAGTCAGTCTATATAGCTCTCCACCCCATACTTCATACCACTTCATACATCATGTGGTATCTATCATGCGTTCCACCAGGGCTCAAGCTTTCTTTTTTTTTTGGTATGGATATTATTTCCCTTTTTATGCTATACTGTATTCCTACTGCTAGGATCAAACCATACTTCATCTTGAAAGGATAGGGGGCCACTGGTGAAAGATTTCAGGGATAACTTTCAGGTGCCAACCTTAATAAATTATAATCCCAATCAATATGTAATTAACAAGCTAAGGGGCTTGGTCTCAGAAGTAAAAGTTGTAGGATGGTCACTATGAAAAGATACAAGAAGTAAAAATGGAACAATCACTGAACCATAACATACCTGCACACAGTTTATAAAGACTTTTTCAGTGATTTCCCATCCACAGTACCACTAGCAGGATATTTTAAGTGAGGACAAAAATAACATTAATCAGGACCCGAAATAACAACGGCAGAATTTTTTTTCCCCTAATTTCTTTTCAGGGCACGTATATTCATACGGAGAGGGCAATTTTTTTTTTCGTCCGAAAAGATGCAAGAGTAAGCGCCCGTGCATTTCACCTTACAACATCAAGTACTCAGTAGCACACAAGATACGGGTGCTAACTACTGCTTAGGAGGGCTGCCTTTCGTAGCCACATATTCACCGTTTTTAAGACGTCCTCCCCAAACTCACACAACGCCCTTCCTTGCCGGGCAGAAACTGCGTCCTGCCCTGGCTCCTAACCGACGCCCAACGTGCCGACATGCCATCAAGCGAGGGCGCACGCCAGCGACAGCC